CCTTACGCCATGCCGATCCCTATCCCCGAATAAGGGATCTCAATTTGAAGATTCGGCAAATGGTAAATTATCATAAGCGGACAAAATGGATAGAGCACCTGAAGTCCTGCAACCTCTCCACCGGTGTGAGTAAGCTTTGGACTACTGTCAAGGCCCTGTCAAATCCGAGAAGACATGACGATCAGGTTGAAATTTAATTCGATAGTCATGCCTCCGCGGACCCGAAGAAGTGCGCGAGCTATTTCAGCCGACAATTTACACTTCACCCTTCGACTGATAAGGCCAAACGACGTGTTACCCGACGGCTGCGCAAAATGCCAAAAGACTGCGCACCACTTACTTTCACCGATGGGGAGGTTCAGAGTGTCATCAAAAAGGCGAAATCGTCTAAATCCATTGGCCCTGACGGAATAAGCATGCTGATGCTAAAACACCTAGGCCCAACGGGAGTAAATTATCTCACCAAGGTCCTCAACCTGTCGATATCCACTCTTCAAATACCCGATGTGTGGAAAGTCGGAAGAGTGGTCCCACTACTGAAACCTGGGAAACCCGCCAACAAAGGGGAGTCTTATCGCCCGATAACTCTCCTTTCCCCAGTAGTGAAGACACTTGAGGCCTTGTTACTCCCGCCATTCACTCACCACCTGAGTCTAGCAGATCATCAGCATGGCTTCCGAAAAGTGCACAGTACCACCACAGCACTTAGCGTCATAAACGCCCAGATAGTTCATGGCCTGAACCAGAAGCCACCCTGCGACAGGACGATCCTCTTAGCGTTGGACTTGTCAAAAGCTTCTGACATAGTCAATCACACAACGCTACTTGAGGACCTAGAACAATCAACGCTCCCTCCAGGGCTGAAGCGGTGGACTATGAACTACCTGAGCGGTCGGCATTCATCCGTACTGTTTCGAGGTCAAAACTCCAAACTTAGGAAAATTAAACAGGGGGTTCCGCAGTGCGGTGTCCTGTCCCCACTACTGTTTAATTTTTATATTTCGAAACTCCCCCAGCCACCAGCGGGAATTTCAGTGACCTCGTACGCTGGTGACTGTACGATATTGACGTCGGGAAATGGAATCAATGGCATGTGTTCAAAAGTAAACAGCTACCTCTCCGATCTTTCTCGTTTCTCTCTGCAAGGAACCTAACACTCTCGCCCACTAAATCCACAGCAACCATCTTCACAAATTGGACGAAGGAGTACAGACTGGACCTTAACATTTCAGTCGATGGCACACAAATTCCCACAGTAAATAACCCTAAAATTTTAGGCGTCACTTTGGACAGTCTGTGCTCTTTCACTCCTCACACGACCGCGATAACTGCCAAAGTACAGAACCGCAACAAAATCCTCAAGTCGCTTGCCGGCAGCTCTTGGGGAAAAGACAAAGGAACTTTGTTGGCAACATACAAGGGAATCGGCCGGCCGGTTCTAAATTACACAGCCCCAATATGGTCACCTGGATGCAGTGACACGCAGAAGAAGAAGCTTCAGACCTGTCAGAACACTGCACTCCGAACTATCACGGGATGCCTCTTGATGTCTCCAATCGAACACCTACATAGTGAGGCCCGTATGCTTCCGGTTAAGGAACACAACGAACTCCTCTCCAAGCAGTTTCTACTGGGGTGTTTTCGTAGAAACCACCCCTGTAGTCGCCTGACTGTAGCGGAGCCGTCTCCTAGGAACATCAAGAGGTCTTTCCTTGACTACGTCGACGACATTAGACAGTACGCCGACCGGACTTCGGACGCAACGAACTTCAGACAGGCACTGACCGCCATTCACAGTGGACCCATCAACACCTTCACAGACTCCCTCTCAGTGAATGGCGTAATAGGAGTCAAACCACCACCCATAGCAGACATAGAGGTCGAGTTGCCTCGCGAAACCAGAGTGACCCTCACGCAACTTCGTTCCGGATACTGTAGCAGGTTAAACTGCTACTTATCCAGAATAGACCCCGACATACTAAACACATGTCCTGCGTGCAATGAGTCTCCGCATGACACTAACCACTTCTTTGCATGCCCAACAAACCCCACTCATCTAACACCCTTCTCCCTATGGTCCGACCCCGTCGAAACAGCTCGTTTCCTGGGCCTCCCGTTAGATGACCTCGACGACAACGAATCTGGAATTTAGCACCCAAACGGAGACTAGGTAACCGTTACAACAACAACAACATGCATATTGTTCTACCATATTCATGATAATTCATTGCAAGCAAAATGTGAGACCATCATCCCAACATACAAGTAAAATATGCAACACGCTCTAAGTGTTGCGCAGTCGAACCGCACAAATATTTTCGAAAATGTTATGAAAAGGAATGACAGAAAAAGTCGATTTAAGTTGCTGTACTCTTTTTGCTCGTGTGAATGCACAGAGCGACACCACAAGAGAATTTGCCAATAATGAGGGTCAAAAGAGTCCCAATGTAAAGGCACACTTACAAAAAATAGATAACAGAATTCAAATTTCTGAATATATATATTATATATTCATATGATTGTATATATTCATTTAAAACCGAGCGCTGTTGCAAAATTCAAAGAATTCTAAAGTGAAAGGGAATGCTGAAAAAGATAGCAGCGAACTGTTACGAACAAGAACACAAAGCGTGCCACCCGAGTAGGAGTGTCACGGTCCCTTCGTCTTTCCTCGTGGTCCCCTCGCCCACAATAACTCGGTTTGGGTTACGAAAGAGCATTGTATAAATCTATTCTCCATTACAATTACATGTTGACAAACAAGCCTTTCATTTACATCTCTGTGTCAAAAAAAAGGCAGATTCGATCAGGTGATCACGGCTATTTCACACACATAGGAAAACAGCTGATTCTTTGGCTACTTGGTGCCGTTTCAGACAGTAATTCAAAAGAGTCTGATGTTTTTCAAATTTTCTTTTGGTGTCGCTCTGGGCATTCACACGGTCAAAAAGAGTCCAGCAACTCGAGTCTAGTTTTTCTGCATTCCTTTTCACAAAATTTTCGTAAATATTTGTGCGGTTCGACTGCGCAACACTGCGTGCTGCGTATTTCATTTGTATGTTGAGATGATGGTCACACATTTTGCTTGCAATGAATTACCATGAATATGGTAAAACAATATGCATAATACAAGTACCTACCCGCTAAATAGTTTCAAAGAAAGGGTCGGCTTTAGAATAACGTCCCACGCTTTCGGGGATAAAACGGGTATGGGCGGATAGAGGAGATCCTCCAGATCAAGAATATAAATAGATATAGCCGCGGGAAACTTATAGTTTTCGAGATATTTACGTTTAAAGTTGAAAATTTCAACTATTTAAAGTACGTATTTTTGCGAGTTAAAATGAATTATACACTTATATTTTTCACTTTTATATCCACTAACACTTGACTAATTCGTTTTTAGAAATTTTTTTTATATTAGATGCTGCAAAAATAGCTTTATTACAATATTTAAATCATTCGTTAATTTTATTAATTTTGACAATAACAAAATGGTTGTGAATGTCAAAACATCAGTGTTGCCATACTAATATATTTTGCAAACGAAGAAAAATAAAATTAACAGAGAGATTGTATCCTAGATACAGGAAACAACGCAAAAAGAATTTCTGCGCAAAAAAACCTTGATACACCCCGGTGTTGGACCGACCAGGGTTATTTTTTTGAAGCGCGGCCG